ACTAACTGTATTTTTCTCTTTGTAATTGGAGTCCTTGAATATTGAAAATTAATCCTTAAAAAGTCCTTGAAAAGTCCTTGAATTTTGTATGAACAAATCTGTACGAACCCTGTTTACTTATTCATGGTGTTTTGGAAAAAAATTGAGTTCATTTGTACTTTAACTGGTTAAGAAACTTTGAGAAGTGGACAATTTCTTTGAAGAGAAGAGTGAGGCTGATGTTTTTAATGATAAAATTAGTCATTGTAATAAGAAGCAAGCAATTACAAAAAATTCATGTAAATATATGAACAATGACAGTGCTTTTCCTGGGTGACATTGATAGTTAAAGCATTGAGGAATTGCAGTACAACAAAATATAAAGTAATGGCCATCCATGATGATTTGTGCTTTGGTTCAATTAAGGAATGTTCAAGTGAAAGAAGACAGTCCACCTAATCACATCTTGCTTGTGACGATTATCAATCCACAGTATCCAGTCACTACAGTAAGTCTACTATACTATTAATCACAGTATCCAGTCACTACAGTAAGTCTACTATACTATTAATCACAGTATCCAGTCACTACAGTAAGTCTACTATACTATTAATTGTGATGTAAACAGTAAGTCTACTATACTATTAATTGTGATATAAACAATAGAGACTTAACTATAGACAAGGAATGAGACATTTACAAACATCTTGCTTATTTAGAATATCACAAAAATTATATAATTTACTAGTTATTCTACAAAATTGATTTCAGATAGTTTCAATTTCACATTTATTTAACTTCATCAGTAAATATTTGACAAAAAACACCTATAACCTGCATATAGCAAAGACGGTTAGTCTAGGCAGGTTAGATGTTAGAAAAACATTTGTACAGAATCTGATAGCCAACAAACTCTAGCAAAATTAATTGCCCTAACACTACTAATTCAGAACAGACAAAATTTGGTTCTGGAATCCGTAATCTAGAATCCAGACACTTGAAATCTGGGATCCATTGTGTCCAATAATGGAAGATTCAATCGTATAAGGTTCACTTATAGTACAATTGTTAAACATACCTATTTCAAAAAAGGTTTTCAGATGAAATGGCTATTATCACACAGAGATTGTATGACCAAAAGGAGCCATGGATTTTGCTAATAGATGGGAAATAATTAATAATTTATTAATGATTTATGCTGGAAGTCTGGCTCTATTTAGTGTCCATTTTCATGCAAGATGAAACCATCAAAAAACTGCATATTGATTTAATTCTGACAGTGAAATCTAAATCTGTCTTCTCAATATTTTTTACCTACTGATTAGTGCAGTTCAGCTATTTGACCTTACCATTAGGGATTACCATTAGCTTGATCCCTAATCATTAGGGCTCTGACAATCTGTCAATAACCCTAACCATTATCCCTGACAATCCCTTTTGAGGGGTCTTGAGGCAAAATCCATAATCATGAGGGGGGAAATGGTACAACCTATGAAGTATTTGGGTGGATTTATTTATTCCCAATGTTTCATTTGCCTCTGTATATCAATGATTTTTGTTTGTTAACTTGTTCTGTCTAATGTATCATATTCATTGCAGGATATTCTACACACCATATTTAGCAAACAAGGTGCCGTCCAGAGAATTGTTGTGTTCAGAAAAAGTGGTTTACAAGCAATGATAGAGTATCCTTTGAACTGCATCAAGACAATCACGTAATAAGTCAGATAAATATCTTGAACGTGGGTAATACGCCTATCAAGCCATCATGTTTTATGATGTATTGTCAGTCTCTGTTCTCTGTATTTATCTAGTACTTTCAAATAGGATCCCCCCAGGGCTRTCAAATCTCTTTGATAATCCGGGGTCTCAAGATTTTGGAACATTTCCCAGTCTCAAGAGTAGAATATTATACAGTCATTGAATGATGCTAAAAAGACAATTTATGTGTTTCCATTGTGAAAATGAAAAGACAATCTGCTATTTTTAACAACTCAGTTGATTTAAGGCAGTGCACACTTTTTCAATGGTTAAAAAATATTTAAAGGGACACTGTCAATGGCACGCATGCGCGAGTAAACTTGAAAACACTAGGCTAGTGTTTTCAAGTTTATGACTCCAAGTTGGCGCGACATAAATCAGATCGTAAACGTAAACAGATCTAGAATATTCCAAAGTGTGTCAAAAGCACCACAAAATGATTTACCTTGAAGGTTATACTTTCAAAGTCCGTTAGAG